ACACACACACACACACACACACACACACACGCACACACACGTACACACGCACACACACGCAGAGGAAAGAATGTTTCTTGTTATTGGAGATCGTCTTTTTTAAACAGATTTAAAATGACGCTTTGTGGGGAAAACCACAATTTAAAGAAAGAAAAAAGATGACTTGGAAAGTGTTTGTAAACCGAAAAGTTCAATCTTTTGGTTAATGAGAACGCTATTGGGTGCTTCTTTCGGGACTGACAGACTCACAGTGTGTGTTATCAATACTTCCGAAAGAATGCTCACCCCATGAACGTTTTATTTTATTCTTTATAGGGTTTTTTTTTGTCATGTTAATATTCAATTGTAACGTTGAGGTTCGAGAAATAGTCTTTCATTATAGAATGGTTTCTATTCAATATTGTTATGGAGTAACATTTTGTCATTTGAAGATATTTCACGTAACTCTTTACTTAAGAAAATACTACTTAGTTCATCCACTTTGCAGAAACGTTTGTAAAATATGTTTATGGCATCTAATCATTTTGCTAGCAAGGGAATGGTTGTGATTGTTTTGTGATCAGTATAAAAAAGTAAAGGTCTGAAATGGAATTACTCAGTATTATAACATCATAACTTTTCTTTGAAACAGCAGGAATTGATCCAACTAATGAATGCTACAATAACTTTGAGAATGATCTTTATGTGAATGATTAATAAAGTAATTTATCAATTAAAAGTTCAAATGACGAACAATTTGGTACAGTAAGCGTAAAAATCCATGTTTGGTTATGCAAGCTGTAACTTTGGGTTTTAAAGAAAATTTGTTTAACATTGCATGTCTTTAGTTTGGAGGTTGCAAATTTCTGCTGCTCGCCTGCCTGCCTACCACGAGCTATGCCAGATGTAGTTTTTTTCTTGCTTTATTTTGCATGTTATTCTGGTCTGGTAAATAAAGTACAATTAACAGGCATTCTTTTGAATACCTATTCCGTTGCAGTATATCATGTTTTGAAGGCGTATTAGACATGATTTGTCCTAATGGAATATTGTATTGTAAGAACTTTTTTTTTCCAGGACAATTCACAATTTCAAAATCAACACTGTTTTTTTCCAGGACAATTCACAATTTCAAAATCAACACTGTTTTTTTTTTTTAAAAATTTTTTTATAGTATGTATCACTGAGAAAGGACTGAAAGAAGGTTTCAATACAAAGCTTTTTAGCATGTTTTTGTCAAGTGTTATGCATATAAAGAAAACTGCCACAAAGGCATTTGCAGAAGTCCTTGCGGCACATATGTTAAATGATTGTTTTATTCTTTACAAGACTGGTGTCATAAGTAACCTTTAAACGGCCATAAGCAAATTATTTCCACTTGAATTATGAGTTAATTTCTTATTTCTCGATAGTCGACTTTTTGTTTTATCTTTGAAACAAAAAACAATTGTTCAAATTTACGATGAGGCCCTATGTCAATTATAAAAAGAAAGAAATATCAGTTAATTAAAACAGTTTAGATGGTTTACTTGGGCTTATTTATTATCTATACAGAAATATCATAGATTTGTAGTACATATATGTACATAATTATGTTTCCAAAGCGGTCGAACACATTAAATTTAAATCTACCTCCAGAGACCACAGTGATGTCAAGGTGTGGAAGCAGCAAGACAATGCAACCACTAGAGAGAGTCATTATATCTTTAAAAAACACCACACAATGCAGACAAACTGTCCTGTCTCGTTTTGGAATGAGCATATCTGTCACACCATCCCCTGCCTGCAGCATGGGCAACCTCGTGAGCGTCGAAACTTCACTTGTTTATGACCCCTAATAACTGTTGAAGGTCTTGTGTCAACTTGCCTTTTGAAATGGATTTTTGCCTGCTGTTTATATTTATTTTGTCTTGACATATTTGTTTCAATTTTTTACAACTTCAAGGGCATGTGCCTCGTTTTCTGCATGAATTTCGTACCACAAGCACTTTCGTAGGTTCAGTCAGCTCTGGACTTTTTTGGGACCTCAGAAAGTGTTTTCGTCATGCTGGAGTCCAAGTGCAGGCTGAGAGGCAAACTGCGCATCAGGTGTGGTGTGTCGAATTTGATTTATTTCTTTATTTAATTTTTATTTTCTACGTGACGACATGATGTCTGTTGAAACCATATGTATTTGTATTTGTCTCGAACAGTTGCGTAGTTTCTTTGTCTTTTCTGGATTGAAAGAAAGAGATGAGGAATGCATTTGACACGAGTACTTACAGGATGCCAATAAAACAGAAGAAATTAATGACTAGTCCCTTAACCTAAACACAATAAAACAGAAACCGAAGTCGAGTGTTGTTGATGGTTGTGTTTTTGACTGTCATATAGACAGAAACATTTACGCCCCAATGAAGTGACGCTCCAAAACCCCGAGTGCAATCTTGCTGGACACCCGTGCGGATTCCTTTGGTTCGAATCCTCAAGAGATTATTCTACATACGGGAGTTTTAGTTTGAATAAACTCGATGATTAAAGGGACACTTCAAATGCCTAATTGGTATTATGCTGAACTAAGATGTGGATTGCTTTGGTTCGAGTCCCCAAGTTGGTGTCATGCTGGACGAAGATGCAGATTGCCTTGGTTCGGATCCCACAATCATTGTTCGCTACAGGACATTATTGCGAGTTAGTCTTCAAGGCTTTCCAACCCTTTGGCTTCATTATCTCGGTCCACCTCTTACATACTCTTACAGTATTTATCGAAGCGCCAGAGCTATGCCATTTTTATGAAGCCTGAATATTGTACCAACTATTCTTTTATCTCATCCTCCTGGTCTGATTAAATTCTTTCTTCCATTCTTCTTCTTGCTTCACGCTTGTTTTCATCAATTTTTTTTGATAATGACAAAAAAAAACCAACAAGCGTAAAAGCGTTGTCATCATCATCATCATCATCATCATCATCATCATCATCATCATCATCATCATCAGTATCATCATCATCATCATCATCATCCTCATTATAGTTGTTGACAAAGTAGTAAAACATGAGAACACAGGATTATTAGTATCATCACCAACAACTAAATCATTATCACCATTATCACCATCATCATTAACAACAACATCTGTATCAACAACAACAGTAACAACGAAAACAGAAATAAGGTTAACAACAAAAACACAACGAGAACGACAGAAAGAGCACAAGAAAACAGCCATAGATTGGAAAGATAGAGTTTAGTGCTCTATGCTATAAGAGTAAATTTCGAACCACCCTCCCCCTCGCCCTCCTCCCCTCCACACACACACGCACACACACACACACACACACACACACACACACACACACACACACACACACACACACACACACACACACTAAATAATTAAAAGAATACCTGAAATATGGTAAAAAACGTGTCTTTTATGTCCGATGTCACAGTGACCCAAACGTGGCACCCCGCCGTGTTTGCCTACAAGGTCTAGTGAATTCCAAATGGGGCGTATGGTATGTGAAGTTTGCTTCTGTATTCAGGATAATGCAGGATGAACGAAATTGATGTTTAGCTAACAGATTTAGTTCTAGAAACCAAAGCGACAAGTAAATAAAATACAAATAAAGCACGAGGTCCTCCCTCGGCCTCACCAACCCAAAGATCCTAAAAGTATACACTATCCAATTTACTATGCCCTTGACTATCTTCAGTTTGTTACAGCTTAATTAATTGTGCACGCCCACTTTTTAACCCCACGAGCCACCCCTGAAGGAGACATCTCCGACGGAGATGGACCAATCAAAATACTTTGTGCCTCTGGACCAAGTTAAAAAAATCTGGGGAGTTACAAGCTGTTTTAACTCATAATTTGATATTTTGCCGTTAGGTTTGAGACTTTTAGGAAATAATTGATTTGCGACACTTTTAGCGCGGGTTCTGTCGCAAACGACTCACAGTTTTACCTCCAAAGCAGTGCATCATTGTGCGGGAGTACGTCTCTCTTCTGCTGCCCGGAAGAGCGCTGAAAAGAGGTTGCCAGTCCAACTTTGAAAACTGCCCAGGGAGGCATCCTCTGAAGATTCGCGTCTGTGGTGTAGCGGATGCTTCGCTGTCACCTGCAGGAGACACAAGTTCAATTCCTGAGTGAGGAGAGGTTTTATTGAGTAATTCCTTCTTTATGTTGGGATGTTGTATCTCTCTCCAAGCTCAGTTGGCTCTGATAAGTGATAGACGAGAGGGAAGGTAGCCCTCCTCCTGAATGACCTACATGAGAGCGAAAAAACAGCTACATTGAAATAAACATCCTCTGGCGTGTTTTATCTGTAGTTTGGCTAGGCTACAAACGCTGGAACATGGTATAGTCGCTTACACAACCTAACAGTTCTCCCCTTGGGGGTGTAATTAGCTCTACCACGGACGAGCCAACACTTCTACATTTCTGATTTGAAATTTGACTACCACACTGGGGCCAACAAAAATAGATATTGCTAAATTGTATAGTTGATATCATACACTAGCTGATCTAACTTCAATCATTGTGAATCCAAAGGCTTGTAAACCGAATGAAATATTTAAAATTCAGATAATTATAAAACCCTAGCCCTTACTCTAACTATTGTGTATTGGATTTTGATTAAAGGCTTACAACATAAGAAACATATAAGATAGAGACATGAGAAACTCGTGTTGTACCAGGGGTAACGAAAACAGGATTTTTAAAAATTATTTACTAATTGGCCACGGACTGGTAGAGAATGGGGGTTACAATATTTGCCAGTTTTGCCGGACGACACAAAAACATACTTAACACCTCCCCACTGAGCTTGAGGTCACCGACTGCGATAACACATTAATGTCACAAGTTAATCAAT